TCATCTCGTTATCACGTATGGCTCGTAATTCTTTCTAACACTTAAAGGACTGCTATAAAATGAAAAAATAACATAAATTTATTAATAATAGTAATATAAACAGATAGATAAATATTGTTTATCAATCTTTGGGTGTTATAATCAGTTGCCTCGTTTAAAGTAATGTTTTTATTTCTTATTTATTTAAAAATTGTAATTCTAAATCGTTATTGAGATAACTTATAAATTTTATATATTTCAAAAACTATCAATCACTATAATACTTATAATTTAGTAGGTACATATTTGTCATATTTATAATTGTTAGTTCTACTTACAAAGCTAGGAATGCCTTAATTAATAATAAAAAAAGAAAAAAAATTCTACTTACAAATAAAAAAAGTTGGTTTAGTATTTTAGTAATGCAGTTCATAGATGTTAATAACTTTGATGAATTAACAATTTTTTTAACTGGAAAAAGGTCCTCTACATTATTATGATGTATATTTTAATATTTTCAATAATTGTATAGTATTTTTATTTTTAAAATCAGAACGTCTGAATATTTTGCTATAATACCTAGGTCTATATATATTATATAATAACGACATACTACTCATACTTGATATTTGATAAACGATTTGTAACGTAAGTCTTTTTGTTTATTCCGTTTTGATAATAATATATCTGTATTCGAGTGTCCCGATAACACGCTAAACAATGAAGACGAAAACGTTCAGTATTTAGTTTAAAGAGAGAGTGAGAGGGAGTGTGGTAGGTAGATAGGAGAAGCGATGCAACTGGGTGTGGCAGTGTAAGCTCATGGTAGGTGTATCGATGATTGATGCGCATAACGTGGACCGATTGAGGCCACAGAAGAGAAAAAAAACAAGCGTAAAGTCGGGTTATCAACATGAGCTGGACCTGTCAAAAACATGTACGACTCCCCGGGGAGGGTTTCGTCCCAGAAAATGACTCGGTTTCCAACATCTCGATTTTTTTCTTCTAGACGTATATTATAGTAGGTAGAATTTTTTTTTTATTCATCTTGTATTATTATGTAGTGGATATACATTCACAGGCATGAACGTATTATATAGTACTCATTTGTTGTATATTTTTCTTCAGACGTGAATTCCAGTTTTCTGACGTTCTTGTCACATATTTTCAGAAAATAACATAATAATTCAAAAAATATAACCTAGGTATGACGTCAATGAAAGTCTTAATATTTAAAATAAATATTGCTTTATCTAGTGGTTATCAAACTATTATTATTAAAACGACAGCAGTCTTTTAAAATTTCTATTTTAGAAATGAACCATGGAATCGATTGATTGTTCAGTACGGCTGTAAAGAGGGAAATGAGGTGATTAATAAATTAGTGAGAAATTTTCAAAAAATAATTTCTGAAAAAATGTGATCATAAGTGGAATGAATTGAGTACCTAAGTAAATTTTCGATGTTTTAGTAATGCTTTATATTTTGGACATCCTTTGTATTTTTAGGTGTAGTGGACCACGCAAAGGGCACACATGACTGAGCTGTTTTTTTCTTTGGTGTAAATGTCTGAGGAGTGACCTCTCCCAAATTTTACGTAGCGAGAGGGATGGTGGCATTATGTTGTGGTATGAACGTAGGTCATATAGTTTTTAGACTGAGAAAGATCACTTTTAGTCCTGTAAGGTAATTCAACTTTAACTTTAGTATCAAATAACATTGATGTCTGACTTAAAACTTCTTTGTTATTGGTTTGGGTTTGAATTCCACGAAAAAGGGTGGAAGCAAGCGTTTGTTTTTAGCGACATTTATGACATGACTAATGGAGTTACCAAATTAGTCGAGAGCATTAGAAATTATGAATTTATTATTATTATTTATTTATTTTTTTATAGTTAATATAATGATACTCAAGGATTAGTTGTCGAATTCGATTTACTATATTATTAAAATATTTTCTGGAGTTGTTTCACAATGTTAGTCCACGTGCAGGACCGGACATGCGTGTTCTGCGTCAAAATTGAATTTCTGATAAATACATCATCCTCCCCTTTAACCACAGTTAAAAGTTGCAATGCCCACAGGGGCCACGCGGTGCTCATATTAAAAAGATCCGGCAAAAGGTGGAATAAACTTTTCAAATATAATTCAGATTTTCCGGGACTTAAATATGAACTTTTGTGCATCTTCGTCGCGTTTTACTCTTGTCGTCCTTGTTACGTGCCCTCTAGTTTTATTTGGCGTTAAAGTTTTGCGTGACGGAGGACTGAAAAAAAAATTTAGCGTCAAATAAAAACAAATTACCAGTCCTTTCTTACATCGGAAAAAAGTTTCACTCGTCAAAATGCGCAGAGTGAACACGACCGTGACAAAGAATATATCCTATATATATACACGCTTAGATGTGAGAGTTTTTCATTTTCATTTTTTCTTCATTTTTCTTTCTCGTTTTTATCGACGATGGACGGCAAAAACAAACTTTGATAATACAATCAAGCAATTTGTTTGGCCAATTCTATCATGCCACCAAGTACCACCTGCTATCTTATACGATAGATTTTTAAACGAATTTCTGTTTGTCTTAATAATATATTTCCATCCGTTCGTCGGAACATGCACGTAAATTCCTCGTGAATGGTTTGGTGAACAATTCAAAATGAGAATGGTTGACGACTATTTCGTATTGTTTATGATGAAACAAACATGTATAGATCTATACTTTTATAATTTCCATATTCATATGTTTTTGTTTCTCAACCTATGCTTATCTTCGAACATTTGAGATTATATCACAATATAAAAAGAATATTTTATTTTTGACTTGGGATTTAGAAAATAATAATAAGAAAACAAAATAATCAATGAGAATTTGATATATTATAACTTATAAATATTGAAAACATTAGTTCTTACATKATAAGTAATTACACATTATAATACCAACATATTATGATGAATTGAGCTTTTGTGAGCGACATATCGCAATAAAATACACACAATTATTTAGGTATTTATTTATTTATGCTAATCATCCGACCCTTAASATTTAAGTAAAATATATAATCATGGACCAAAAGAAACTAACATGCATGATGATAATAATACAATTAAAATTAACAAAGAAACAAAAATTAAAAATTAATTACATTTGTATGAATATGAATATAAAATAATAATTTTTCAGCTTTGTCGAGATAAAACAAAAAACAACAAGATGTGATTTAAAAAAAATAAAAGCTCTTGAAAGAGAGAAATTATTCCCACAATTTGTTTCGGTTTTTTGTATATAGAGCAAATCAAAATTATAATAATATATATTATATAATCTTAAAAGGGTTTCTAAATCCAATAAAATGTAAAATTGCTGGAAAATCGATACATGTATTATTATTTAAAATATCATAAGCATACATTATACAACAATAACGCCGAAGACCTATTTTATTTATTTACTTATTTATTTGTATTTATTCTTCAAGAATATAACTAGCCCACTATAAACATATTCTCTAGTATCTCCACGGAGACCCGTGGCTTCATTGCTTCAATGAAATTTCCTATACGTATGAGTTAATTTGCCACAACAGGTTGTAAACAACTGATCTATATTACCATAACATATTTTAAGCTGGTTAGATTTTTCAGACGAAAGCTGACTACAATAAATACCTACTTATAAACACGTAATAACATTTGAACATTATCGTTAAGAAGAAAAAGGCAGTATAAGGTACCATCTATATAAACAAAGTAAATCTATTCAAAAAAATTATAATAATAACGCGTCGTTGTGATATAATATATTATTTAACTCAAAACAAACAATATAAATCAACTAGAAGTTATTTCAGGTGTGCTATAATAATATTTATATACTCGTGCGTAGGTTTTGTGCGCTCTTATATTATTATGTGAAACAAAACAAAAACAGTCACTTTACTCCGTTTTTTTTTTGTATTCATGTTATGCGGTTTCATAATGTAAAAAAAGTTTTTTGTGACCTTAAATTAGCCGTTTTCGTTCCCAATGTGTTTTTTTTATGTCAAAACATCTTAACAGTATTTAAATGGTTAATATTTTCTTATAACTGCATTGCCTGAAAATTCCACGAACTCATCTACTTGTGTGGTTTAATAAAAGTCATATCGATATATTGTAAATGTTAGTTATTACTTTGCTAGGTATTCGATAAAAAAAAAAAAATGAAGAACGTAAAGTGTGTAGGTTTAGATGGAAGACTATTAAAATAAAGTCTCTATAATTACAATCAGATTTGCAAAGACGGATCATTTTGTTTTAATTAACCAAACTATTTAGGAGCTATYGAATGAATTCGAATTGAAYATTAACTGTCCATAATGCGAAGGTACATTGTACATTATACCCCAATAATTGTAGTGAATTATTTTCCAATTAAATTATGGAAAACCAGCATAAACATAATATTATGGTGGACTGTAGCTATACAGTAATAGGAAAATAGTAGTTTACATTATATTTAAACACAAATAAAACAACAAAACTTATCAGATTTTGATATCGGTATTTTTTGATTGGATATTTTTATGGGTACCTACGTGATGATATTAAACAGTCACCATATTAAAACATTGATCAAAGGTATCCATCATAAAGTGTGTTGTTAATAGAAATGATTATTTTTCATGGTAAAATCAGTATTATCATCCCGAAATTATGTCGTTCCAAGCTGCAAAGTGCAACGAATTTGGCTCTTCCTTCTTGCGTGCCAAACTTTCAAGTTTTAGAACTATAATAATGCATATGATTCAGTTATCGCACTTTATTATAATTAATCATTATGTTTAATCGTCAAAATTTCTTTGAACACTTGAATTTTTAAAAAATATTTTCATATTTTAAATGTATTATATATAACGTATTTTACCTGCTCACATTTCTCTGTATTTAGACTTTATATATATATATATATATATATTGTTATAATTAATGTTATTATCACTGCATAATTATGATTTGTTGATTTTCGTATTTTTTTTTAGCCTATGGAAATTTGGGCTCAATACTGAGTAGTCAGGGTCGACTGGATGAGGCGGAAACTGCACTGAGGACGGCATTACGATATCGACCGAACATGGCGGACGTACATTACAATTTGTAAGTACAAAAATAGTAATAAATATTGTTTTGTAGTATATTATATCGTTAGTCACCCTAAAATATAACGACTTGGACAGCACCCAAACGCGTACCCCAATTTACTGACATACCTGTATGTATAAGTGTGTCTGTATTTGTGTATGTTTGTATGTATATGCGTGTAAGTATTTAACATTTTTATTGAGAAAACTAAAAAATGTATTGGTTCATATTATAATAAACGGTCAAGTGTTGTTTGAAGTATATTGTATGAAAAACATGTAAAATTTGTACATATTCATATAAAAATAAACTTTCGGTGGTTGTAATGAAGAGCTCTCTTCTCTCTGTTCGATATATTAATAACATTTCTGTTGCATTATAAAAGCCTTTAAAAAGCTAACATGAACCAATATACCTACACAAAAACTTAGTTAACGAATCCAGTTGATCATGCGTCGAAAAATAGTAAAATCAAAAGTCTTGAATACGCTATAGATAATAAATAATAGTAATAATATTCGTGTCATAATCTTCATGAAGTATATAATGCCAATTTTCGAAACTACTAAAATATTATTATTGTAACACTTGCTGCTTAAATACGGGTCGTCGACTAAACCATAGGCACGTTTATATTCTAGGGTTTGGGTAAAGCTATAAAGTCTAAATTGATTATTTCAGTAACTTTATATCGTTATTATGAATAGTTTTGACGTAACTATTAGACCAAATTCGAGCAACTAGTTGAAATTTGACTCACGTAGACGTAATCCGTTTTTGCCTGATTAAATAATTATAATAGTGTTCAATGAATTTGTATTCCCGAGTTTAAGAAACAATTTTTTTACAAACGATAAAGTTTTATTTAGATACTTTAACCCGATGCACGTTATTATTATTATCTAAATGAGATTTTGTAGCTGAACGAAAATCAAATACCGATTGTGTGGTTGTTAACCAAAACCCGAAAAATATCAATGGATTTTCATATCTATAAAAGTATTTGTAAACAGAACTATTGCAGATATATTATAGTCTAGAGTATTATATATATCAGCTCATTCGATCAGTTTTAAAATTTTGTGCACGCGACCGATCGATATATTCAACACATTTTTTTTTTTTTTTTTTTAACGGATACGAACATACTAAAAGTGTCGTTATAATTTATTGTCTCTGACTTTGGACCCACGCCGTAGCCGTATTATATAATACCATAAATTATGCCGTCGTTCGTCGAAAATCGTTAGACAGACAACTGCGGAATATACAATATTATATTGTGTGACTAGGAAACGTGTATATTATGGCATCGTATATAATAATAATAATAATAGTAATAATATAATGTCGTGGGCCAAACCATTTCCCGGGGCTGTTATGATTGCGAAAATGTCAAAACGAATAGGACTAAAACGTCTTAGCGTGTGCGAATAACATTTATGGCACTTTCTCTTTATTAAAACTTATCTGCGGCTGTACATCCCTTTAGCGCATTCTTGMAAAACCATCCTGATCTATTCTTATACACAAACAATCTCTTCCCGCACCTTCCTCCAGTTTGTCGCTTTCAGTCGTTTCCATTGTCGCGAAACACGTAATAATCATTGTATTTACTGTATTTATGTACACGTATCTACGGCTCACCGTTAAAGGTTCATATACCTAAATATTGTTGTATACTTGTACTCGTATTTTACCACTTTTGCGTGTACGAGCTATTTCTGCAGAGATTCCCACTTTATTTTATCCAAGACTTTTTATTCTGCTATAGGTGCCACAACCGCTTAGGTGCTTAACTTAAAACATCTATTGTAGTTTTCAACTTTTTTATTTTTTAATTGTTATTATCACAAAATATATTATATATACCGGCTACCTATCTGGTAGTCATTGGAAAATGACAATAGCTAATAGTTATAAAAATGTTAAAAAAAATTAATAGATATATAAACTACCTTACCTTTCCTTATATTAAACTTCCAGTTAAAAATGAATACTCTAGTATGCGCTAAAATCACTATATTTTTGACCGAAATATAACATTTCATACACACCACCGTGGATTGAACTCGAGCTAATATCATCTAAGAGCCGTCAAACTATTCAGGTCTATGGCAATAAAATAAATTACGAATTTCTACGATAGCGGTTGGGACCTATTTTTCTTCGCCAATTATTCGTAGAATCAAAATCATTTTACAAGGTCATGTGCATGTAGGCTGCAGATGAATCAGAGAAACTATTTAAACACACGATTTTTGAAAAAATGGTCGTGTAATAATTTACATCTTTAAACTTCAAATATATGTATACTAAAAATATATATGTATATTTATAAAATAAAATAAATATATTATGTTTGACCCTCTAAAAGATTCTGATATTCTATATAGCCTTTGAATAAAAAAGTTTGAAGACCCGGGTCTATAATAATATAGAAGCGATTTACCTAAATTCCATATTTGAATATGCAATGTAAGTATTTTATTGTCCTCTACTTTGTTATGAATAAAATCTTTAAAAGTTCTCAATCCTTTAATAAAAGAAAAAAATGCTTAGTTTTGTACACATTTGTCTCTGAGTAAACATTAAATAAACAATTATTATTTTCAACAATTCTTCGATTACAATCACAATTTCTGACTTGAGTGTATGCGTATTTTGATAAACCACGTTCAAAATCTTAAATTTAGTGGAATCATATATTTTATTAAATTATATAATATATTATCGAAAATGTTCCAATACTTCAATTGTAACTTATATTTATTGATAAAATAACTTTTCGTTGGAACAGAAATATGCATTTGCAATACTAGCATGAAACCAAACTTTTAAAATGTCATTGTTATAAGTTACAATAACAGTCCATTCAAATAAACAGATTGAACTTCCAATATCTTATAATATTATTTACTAAAAGAATTACGACATCTATTTGAAGAGTGGTTAGGAAAAAGACCATTTTTGTGTACATTTTTAATAAATATGAGAATATTATCGATATTAATTTATTTCATAGAAATAAACAATATAGCGGTCATACTCTCATACTAATATATTTTTATAAGTACGTATGAACAATAAATTTGGTGTGTTCAAATAATTAAGAAAAATATATTATTTACTAATTAAATTATTTATCGAACTCCAAAGTAAATTCATTAACATTAAGTTGTTAAAAGAGCAATTATTTTAAGTGTTAAATGAAATTATAAGCTGCAAATTACAAACTACGAATTATAAATTCTGCAGTATCCATCAAACTAAATATTAATTTAAGATTTGTCACCATAAATTTAGGAGTTTTATGCCTTATAAATTAATTATTTACATATTTCTTTATTTACTTCATTATAACTGAATACGATGTGTGTATAGGTACAAATGATATCTTTCTGATAAATTAAATGTAAATTTAAATACATTTGTTCAAAAATATGTTTATTTAAATGGTATTTGAGGAAATAATAACGCGGTGTGTATAATATAAGTATAATTGTATTAATATATACCTTTTATATTTATGGCAAAACATATGATATAAGTTAATTAATTTAAAAAATGAAATGATATTTCGTGTAACACGCACTCCGATGCAGCGCATTGGCAAACATAAAATTCACATTAAAATAAAAAATATAAATATAAAAAGTCGTTAAATTATAATTTTGTTTTCGGTCATTGGTTGGCATTTTTCGGACGATAAATCAATAAATTTGTCTGCGTTAAACATCGAAAATATAATAATACGATTAAAAAAAAAAAAAAAGAAATGAGAGAAAAAAGCAAATGCAATAATTGTATAAAAATTGGGAAAAAATCCATTTTATTTGCGGTATTAATACAAAAACGCTACCAACACTCGTGGATACAATTTAAGGCCATCGAAATGTCCCAGCGGACTTCCGAATCGCGTACCTACTGATTTATGTACACGCAATATTCGAATTGACGCATTTATCTATATATCCACCCCTGCAAGCCACCCACCCCACTAAATATATACCCCCGACAAAATAAATATACGAATTGTGTTCGGACTTACCCACCGTTCAAAAACAATATTTATAAATGTATACATATATACATTGAGTATATACCTATAATACACCCGTAGTTCGCATACATTTATCTACACTTTTTTTGTTGTTTGTTCGCTGGTACCGAATCCGATGTTCGTCAATCGTTTATATACACCAAAACGCGTACTGTTGTATTTTTCTTTAAATTCTCTTTTAAATTACCAGTTTTAATGGTGAGGTGTCAGTGTTTTGTTATTAGATTGAATTGACACATTATAATACCTAAAAGAAAGATTATTTATAAGACCCCTAGCAGTATTTAATAAAGATAATTATTTCTAAGTAAGTTAAACTTATGATCTTTTTGAAACTGTAAATTTTAAAAATAGTGATATAAATACGATCCCACTTGGGGCCATAGATAATAATTTTACCTATAATTATTATAATAAAAGTCAATTCACTCTAATATCCAAACCAACAGCACACTATTGAACTGAAATTTGTTACATATATAATACGGGGACAACATAATAATATGTGGGTTGTGGGTACAACGCGTGGCGTTCTTTTAATGCTACTGTACTATAATATTAGTAACAATACTTGTTGCACTTGCAGGCATAAGTTTAAATACTAGAGGTATTGATGGCACTTTCCCACACATAAACATTTCCCCTCTACCCTGTGAAAAAATTCTGAAGATTTTACACCTTTAACCAACATTTTACTCTATTATACACCTGCAGCACCTCAATCTCTCTCACCTCCAAATCTCAATGACCATTTCAGCCTGCGTTAGTAAACCGCTAAACACGAATCATTACTGATTTAAAGATTAATATTTTGTTTCGTCGATCTTGGATACATTGTAGACATCGTAGAACTAACATAGGTTTTTTAAGAATGAATATGCATTATTGTTGTGGTTGAGACACTGATTTTTGATGGTTTAAATGAAATTTATTACTGAAAAAATCACATTAT